CCCTACCTTTGGTTTCTGCTCCACCCAAATTTTAAAACCAACTGCCTGGCATTGGCAGCAGCATTTCTAGTCAGGCAGCAGTGAGGGAGTCAACTGACTTCATGGCTCATTATAAGCTACCTGATTCTTTCTAAACTCTTCATTCCACAGGTGTTAACCATCCTCTCTCCTTTTTAATGGTCGTGATGTTCTACTAATCAAGCTAGCCTTTGCTCTGCAATCTGCTGCCTGTGCTCTTCCCCTAATACTGTAGCTCCTATTTCACAGTCTTTCATACTGTTTTTAACTCATTCCAATAAAGTCATATTTATTTTTGCATGAATCTTAAACTGAATAACATAGCTCTAAGCCCCTGGCAAAATTAGTAAAGCTTCTATTTTCTGGAGAAAGAAAGATATGTGTTGTGTACCTGGAGAAAGAAAGATTCATTGCAGGTTAGTCACTTTGCACATGTGGCCCCTCTTACTTTGCATGTGTAGCCAGCCTACCTTAACTGTGCAATTCACCACTTAACTGTGTGCATGTAACATGTTGCAGGGGCCTCAGAGAGGGAGCCAAGCCCTGCATGAGCTGCCCTGAACAGCCAGCTGTGACTGTGGACAGCTCATGCACCCCTGCTTCAGTCAGTTTACAAGGCGCACCTCTGCCCTCACCTTCCACAATGGGGAGTCTTGCACAAAGCCCCCTACCAGCATTGCCAGGTCTTAAATATGAAATTATTGTATTGGAAGCTCAAAATTATCATGTTTGCTGAATTACTATACACTGAAAAAAATATGCAAATAAGTCTTATATACTTTATATAGCTCTCCTTAGTTACCAACGAGCGAGTGAGAACTGGGTCATCGAAGCTGAAGCATTTCTTTATTTCGAGGCCAGCAGTCATAAGCAAGCTCTGATAGCAAACACAAAAGACAGTTAAGACCCCCTGAGAATGACTCTGGTTTTGCCTATGCTGCATCAATTAGCTGCCTCAAAAACTATTGTACATTTTGAACAATTTTACTGTTATTGATAGCATATTGTACAAAGGTGGAAGTTATACAAATACGCAGAGAAGGTTCTTCGGGTATTTCTGTTATCCTTTAATAGACCAACTAAAAATATGATAATTATAATGAAAATATGAGGATTATCGTACACCTGAAACACCCCCACTCCCCAGGTGCTTCACACCTCAGAACACCAGCCCTTGAGTAGTGGGACTAAACTTGGACCTTCTCTCCCCTCGCTCCGCCAGGACAGCCTCCTACGCCTGCGCACATCCCACCCCGGCACCCCACTTACTGCCCGATCTCCACTGCCCAGAGAGGGTCCTCCAGCGCGCATGCGCCCCAACCTCGCGCAAGCTCAACCTCCCCCAAGCTCGCGCTTCGGAGATCGTTGACCTACCGATCGGGGGGAGAGACGTCACTTCCGGATTGTTCTGCCGGTGGAACCAATCAGCGCCTCCCCCCCGCAGCCCCAGCGGAGGGAGGGAGGCGGGTGATGGTGGCGGCTTGCGCCGGGGCAGCCCCAGCGCGAGGCACCCGC